ATCAACGCGGAGGCGCTCAAGGATCGCGCACGCTTCGAGACAAGCCCGGCGCGCTCTCAGCCCCATTCGCCGGTGCGTAATGGCAACGGCAATGGCAATGGCAAGCAGCAGCAGCAGCAGCAGCAGCAGCAGCAACAATTGCTGCGCGATGCTAGCGATGACAGCGAATGCGAGCACGAGCGTCGCCGCAGCAGCGAACGCTTCTGCAAGTCGCGTCAGCCGCCGGTGCGCAAGTCCGGCGTCAGCAAGAAGCCCAGCGTAATGGGCAAGTATCTGCCCTCAAGGCGGGACGAGCAGAGCGCCTACAAATATGATCTGTCGGCGCTGAAGTATGAGCGTCGCGGTTTCATCAGCAGCAAGAAGCAACAGCAGCAGCAGCAACAGCAAGGCACCGCAGCAACCATTGCTGATCACAATGACAACAATCTAATTGATTTTCATCAGCAACAGTTGCAGCAGCAACAGCAACAGCAGCAACAACAGCAGCTTCAGAGCAAGCGCAGCACCAGCATCTCGCCCACGCCCACCACGAGCAGCTCTTGCAGCTCGGCGGGCAGCGATGACACCACCCCGAATCCAGCGCCCATCAAGGCCAAGCCGCCACAGCGCCAACAGCAGTCACTCAATCTGACCTCCGCCCAGGAGTCGCTGCCCTGGGAGCGCGGCGATGAGCCAGCACCCGTGCTGAGCCGTCGCTACGCCCACTCGAGACACCATGCCGGCGGCAACATCGATGCAGCTGCCAAGCTGGCCAAGGTGATGCCCTATCCACAGCAGCTGCCCAAGCAGGCATCGAGCGTGCAGCTGCTTGGCGAGGATATGGATTGTCTGGAGCCCATGGATGCAGTGCGTGCGTTTAGCTCGCTGGAGAATATGCGCACACGCGATGTCATGCAGCAGGTGGTGCCCGCTATGATGGCTTTCCAGACGCCCGAAGAGCGCGTAAAGGCCATCAATCGCCGAGTGACAGCGCTCAAGAAGAAGCTGGTTCAGCTGGAAGATTCGCTGGAGCAGCGTCTGGGCTATCGGCCATCCCAAGCAGAACGTTTGAATGACAAATACATGAAGAATGCACTCGCCGAACTGAGCAAGCTGCGCAAGGAGCGTCACGAGCTTAAGACTGATCCCATCTCTGCGCTCGGCATGAAAGTGGGCGCCGGCAGCTGCGGCGCTGGCTACGCAGCCAGCGGACAGGAAGCAGCCAAGAAATTGGAGCGCATGAAGCATACGCTCAGTGAAATCGAGCAGGTAAGCAAGGGGAAGGGGAATAGGGTAAGGGGCTGGGTGGGGTTCCTTTGCAAATGCCAAAATGACAAATCAAGAAACATATTTAAGGGGACTAGAACACGCCTCGACTGACGTCAACATCATTTAATGGCATTGTCTAAGCTAGTCAAAAAAGAAATATAAAATAAAATAATAATATATATATAGAGAAAAGTCGGATGTGTCTCAGCAGAACAAGACGTTTCTTGCGCATGTGTTCGATTCGAAAACATCATGAGAAATATGTGGAAAAAGTTAAAGTGACAAACACTTAGGAAATTAAAGAAAATTGGGTTAAGAGAGAGAGAGAGGGGATAGAATTAGCCAGGATGGAATGAAATGAAATGGAATCCATCTCATGTGAAAGAGAGAATAGAGAAGAAATATCTGTCTAATAAACTATCATATAGTATATGGACATAAGTATCTATAAGCGAAGAGAGTTTGAAAAGTTTGCAACATAAAAAAAAATAATATTCATATAAAATCATTAACATAAATATAATACAAAACATTAAAGAAATCTATCGCAAAAATATAGCTCTATTTTTAAAGTAAATATGTATAAATATGTGATGAAACATATATTATATAGTAAACAGTTATATATGTACATAGAAAATCAAGAATGTTGTCAACATATTACTAAGGTAGATGAGGCTACTCACTGTAAGAGCATTATTTTTATAGTACACTTGGGTTAAATCATTCTCTGTTCTCTGTTCAGTTCTAAGGCTTCCACTATTACGCCCACGCTTTGAGCCTGGTTATATGTAGCAGACAGATAAGACTGTGAGCTCTTGTTATATGAACTAGAATTAGAATTAGATTGAACTATAGATACATTTAACTAAAACACATATATGATATAGAAATAATTGCATGCCTATATCAGTCATATAGTATATGTACATATATAAAGTACTTTCATTTCAGAGCTGTTTCTTATCAGTTGTTTGCATTTGAGGCGCTTAAGTAAAGCTGTTTTCACGTGAGGTTTCAATTTCACGACCTCAAATTGAATAAAAGCCGTTTCAAAATATTGTCATTTCTCTAATGTCCCAAATGACAAATGGGTTTCGTATATAGTAAAAGTTCTTAAGACATAGCCATATTTTTTTCATAAACGGCAACATGTGATCTTAGATGTATATGTATTTGTATATATGTATTTATATTTTGCTAACGATTTGTTTTGAGAAACTGTTGTTTTTGCATTTTATATAAGCACGATTATATGTAGCCATAGATATGCAGACAGGCCTCTTGTCTATGTTAAATATCCACTACAAAAACAAATAAACTTGAAAGGCTGCCAAAGCGACAGAGAAAAGTGGAAGAGAAATTGGCATAAATAACATGTAGAAATATTTTAGGGGTAAATAATATCATATATATATATATGGATATATATATATATATGGATATTTGACATATATAGGATATCGACTGCACTCATATTGTAAGGGTAGATAATATCATGCATATAGAGGCGGCCATATAGGCTGCACTGGCCACTTTTCCCGATTTTCCTATGCTATTTTTACCCATTTGCTTTCACAAATTCCATTTATAATAATTGACTTGTTTACGAAGACGACGATTTCACTGTCAAGTGGATGGCACTTGGTTGCCTTTGGGGCATTATACGCTATGGGCAGCCCCATTTGACATTTTGTAAATTTGCTAAGGAACAAATTCAATTTGCACTTGAAATTTGTGATGGATGTGTTTGACGATTGCGACGCAGTTTATGCCCTTTGAGCACTTAGCTAATAATAGCCTCAATTCCTTTGCAGAATCTCAGCGAGAAGCGTACGCAGAATCATCGGCCACAGCAGCTGGAGGAGCTGACTTCGGATCAGCTGGTGCAGGAGAAGAGCGCCGTCCAGCATGGCCTGCTGTACTTCGAGAGTCTCTATGGCCATCCCATAACCAAGGAAGAGCGAGATGCGGCACGCCCACTCTACGATCGTTATAGGCAGCTGAAGCGTCTGGTCTCCCGTCACATTATGTTCGGCGGTGGCGCCGGCGTGAATGAGCTGCCCACGATTTTGGAGCATGAGGCTATGGTCTTTGAGGCAACATCGACACCGCTGCAGTATTCATCGAATAACAGTACTGAGACGACGAACTCACCCAGCGACTCCATGGCGCCAAACAACCAAACACAGAATGCTTCCTCCGATGAGTCGACCACAACGACAACAACAACCACAACAACCGCCACAGACTCAGCACAGGCGGAGAATATCGCGGCGCTCAGCGTGGACCAGCTGTGGGAGCAGTTGGAACGGGTGCGCAACGAGAAGATGGTGCTGAAGGCGACCATTAGGGAATACGAGTCCATATTCGAGGAGCAGAATGGACGCAAAATGCTGAAGCCGGACCGAAAGAGTCTCGAAACGGAGACCTATGCGCAATACAAGGAGAAGAAGGCGAAGGTGCGTCTGCTGCAGGCGCTGATCAAGAAGCACATCGGACACTAGATGGCGCTGCATACACCTACACAGACACACACACATACACACACTCAAGAGTCATATAAATTATTTATTTCATACACAACAAAGAAAATATTATTTCAAATTATATATATTTATATATTACCTAGCATACAAATTAATTATAATTATCAAAAAAAAAAAAAAAAAAAAAAAAAAAAAAAAAAAAAAAAAAGGAAGATAAACACGTAGTTTTAGATTTACATTTATCATATATTCTATATTGATACATTTTATGAATATTGTTGATTCCTTATTGTTTTTGAAAAACATCTATACGCTAATGCATAAAAAAAAAAAAAAAAAAAAAAAAAAAATAAATAAACATTACAAAATAATATATAAGCTGCAAGCAATTTGGTTCTGAAAGAAACGATTCACATCACATCCTATATGGTTTATAAATATATTATAGATCTAAACATATACATATATCATACAGACTTCTTCCACACGGAATTGATATCTATAGATGTATATGTGTATTGTATTCGTCTAACTCTTTGAACCTCATTCATTTTCTATCTATCGTCATTGATATTAAAAAATGAATATTCTTTCCCATTTCCATTTTTTAAATATATATTTCGAATATTATGCTCGATAGGACTGAACCGCTTTCAGACAGATTATAATTGGAATTATTTAAAATACATTTATCTAAACTTTTTTATTGGCATATATTTCTTGCACTTATTAATTAGTGGTAGGAGTTCTATGTTTGTTAAAGCATCAAATCAAATATGAATCATGCAAATTTAATTCACAGAGAAAAAAGAACTTTATAAATGTTGTCTTTCCACATAAAGTTACAAATTTTATAACGCTAAAAATAACTCTATATCCCTCTATATAAATATATATATGAATGAAACTATATTTGTATCAAGCCAATGTTTCAGTGTGTGCTTCTCTCTGAGTCTATATCGATGGCATATATGTATGCTGTTTTTGATTTGACTTTTGGTTGTTGTGCAGGGTCTTGAGATGGTATTAACAAATATATGATATATCATATATAATACATATACATGTGTATGAGTATAAATTTACAAATACCAAAAACAAAGAAAACATATTGAATTCAAAACATTTACAAAAAGAATTATTCTTATATATACATATATATATAAAACAGGAACCCAAATACAAAGATTTGTAGCGTTACAAATAGCCCTAAAAACAAAAACAAAGTAAATGTCTATAATATGAAATGCAAAATAAATTATATCACGTTATAATAAACACATTTTATGCAGTTTTATTCAAGAAGTTTGGGTTGTACAATAAAAATTTCAGAATTCCATTTTTGGTACGCCGCTGATCTGTAATAAATAAAAGATATAGTTTAGTTTACTATGTGCTTAAAATATATGATTATTGTTTATTTATTTATATCAGACTTGTGTAGCCTACATAAAAGATTCAGTTATATGCTTGTCGAAGTTTGTTCATCAGCTCAGTTCCTTTGTGGACAACAAGCCAAAGTAAAGTAGATAAAAAGCGTACCTGTTTAATATATTCCTTTTGGTAGCATTCCAAATTAACAGCCTAAAGACGTTGCTCTGCAAATAAATAAATAAAATATTATTTCAATAAATTAAAATTAAAAAGGAAACAATGTTTTCTTTTTTGTTTATCAGCGAATAAAAACCAATCGACATTATTAAATCCGACTGGGGCGGTATGTAAAACATCATTAAGAAAAAAAAAAAAAAACTATTCAAACTTATTTCAATGTTTTATAAAATTACCTTTAACTAAGGCTCGTCTTTGGATAGCTCTATCAAGCTGCAAAAGAATAGAAATTCTAATTAAGATATTTTTTATAATATCTATGGACAGTAGACTTGTTTATATATTTCTATCAGCTTATTTTATCATCAATTATTCTTATGACAGGGATAACTGTTTGGCTTAAATAAAATGTTCATCATAGTCAATAATAAATTTCTAGTCAGGATATAAGCAACTAACCTCTTAGAGCCGATCAAATAATGCTCCAATTGAAAATGGTACTTCGTCAGCCTGATCTATAAGAGAATAAAAATATATAATTTAGTACAAAACTATACAAAATATTATATGTTATTATATATTACAGTCAGTCGGGTTTAAAGCAACACATTTAATTCAGTTATATGCTTGTCTATTTTATATATCATCACTTAAGATAAAAGATATTTCAAATTTAGCCAAAACCTACCTTCATCGTAGTACCATCTCATGGTCTTCTCTCATTATTTTCTTCAGGACAGTGAAATCTGCAATAAAGAAAAATTTTTTTTAGTATATTATTCTTTTTAGATGTTTATACTGTTAAAATTGTAATATAATATCAGTGTAAACCGAGTCGTCATTATCATTCCGACTGGGGCGGTATATAGAACATCATGTTAAGCATTTAACTTAAATAAATACATTTATATTTCTTGGGGATCTTTCTCTAATTAGACTGCCCTATATATAAAAAGCTAGCTAGATAAACTTACCTTTTAAGAAGTGGAAGAAATTCATTTTTCTGCACATCAGATCCATATCTAAAATTATACAAAAATTCACTATTAGTTATATTAACTTTACAAAATTAAAATTGTCATTTGATTGACCATTTCAGCTTAACGTATCATCAATTGTTTTTTTATGACAGGGATAACTGTTAAAATAGGTTGTTCATCATATTTATAATAAATTATACTTTACAATAGATCTTAGCTTACCATGCGGAAAAATTCGAAAATAAGCCATGGTATCAACACGTGGATATGAAGTTCTGAAAGTGATATACACATTATTAGTACAGTCAAATGTATGCAAACATTGATATTTCTTTAGATATATCAGTAACAAAATCCAATCTTCATTATAATTCCGACTGGGGCGGTATTATTATTCATCATAAAAAATATTCTTAGTAATATTTGGAGAAACTAACCTAACTTATCCCGGCAACACGTGTGGTAGGTTTTTCATGGCATTTCAGTAAAATTTAAATCATTTTCTGCATCCATTTTCCAAGTAGCCGCCATTATCAGGCTATTTGCCTTGTACACTACCTACAATGAATTTAACTTAGTTAATTTACCAAAATTACAATTTGAGAAAACACAAAACACGTGCATAAATTTTATCAGTATTGAAAACCAATCAACACGTCTTTTCAGACTGGGGCGGTATTTATAAACATCATTTTAAAAACGGGCACGTGTTTTGTTAAACAAAATTAATAATTTAACTTACCATTTCAGACAATTTTTTAATTTTTAGGAGCGTTTGCCAAACTCGACTTTCTTCTAGCTGTTGTGTTGAGGAAAAGAAATGGTTACTGCAATGTGACCAAAGGCAACAACTTAAAATGCACCGAGCACACAGTGGTGGCTCGTCGATATATTTATAACATTCACAGCCAACTTCATGTAGCGCCACTTTGAGCGAATCGCTGTTTACGTGTTTGAAGAATGGCAATTACCGATAACAGCCATTTGATAAATTTCATCTGTCGATTCACTTGACACTCGCGCCCATTTGTAAAATTTTGTATGCAGTGCAAATTTTTAATAATAATAAAATTTAGTACTAAAAATGAACGCGGACACAGAAGGGGACTCGGAAGTCTGCATAACATTTGATGAGCTGAGATGCTTTGACGTTGAGGACATACCAACATGCGTTTCAGTAAAATCTGCATTGACAATATGCGAGAAAAGTGTCGCAGATCTTAGCGCAAAAACTGTGGAAGTACTAAGTTTATGGTTGCGAAAACTACTCAGAGGCTATTTAAATGATGATGAATGCAACATACAGATTTTTAAGTGTTTGTATGAGTGGCTGATGTCTTTGGTAAGAGTTATTTGATATTTGGTTGAGCTATGACTGACCTTGATTATTATTATTATTTTTTTTTTATAGAAGGATGATGTGACTCCTGAGAATAAGGAGGCCTGCGCTGATTTTATTTTACTTTTAACTGATGCTGTGGACTTTGCTGAGTGGGCAAAGGTAAAACTGCTAGCAACTGGCGAAAGATTGATGCACGTAACAGTATTCCTTCTCATGGCAATCGTCTATAGCTGCCTTGAAATGTGGTGGGATAAAAAATAATAAATATAAATGTAAATTGACTATGGATCTATGTAACTGTGCTCCTGTTCTCCTTTTCTTGCAGCAATGAGTACCATGTAGAAGCGCTTAAGGAGCATGAATCCAAGGCTATAGAACTACATTTAAATGTATTAAATATGCTGGGAAATATTACAAATTCATCAACTCGAGTCCATCCACGCGTTACACCACGTATGTTCAATTATAAAAATATATTGATATATATGAATAATGCAACATTTAAACTTTCACAGTATTACGCCATATGATTGAAATTGCAGACTTTCTTAGTCTTAATCCTACGCATCTAAATGCTTTTGTAAAGACCAGCAAGACTATGACCGCTATATGCGCTCACTATAATAGCATGGAGGCCAGCCAGGATGAAATGAAAGCCATGCCTGAGTGGATGCAGGACACGTTGCTGCATCTCTGTGATACAGTGCTGAATCAACTTGAAACAGTTAATGATCAGGTTAAGTTCCATCTATTCATCTATGTAGCGTAACTTTATTAATCTATAATCTGTTCACAGAGCTCCTCAGTTCATGAAGAACAAATGAAAGTTATACATGTCTATCTAATTATGATACACAAATTATTAAGCACTGGAGCTAAACATATGGATACAAATGTTTTGGAGGGCCTTTTCTTGATACTGAGTGGAGGTGAAAGGTAAGATACATATATGACTATTTAAAATAGAGCTGACTTAAACTTGAAGTTTATTTTTCTACAGTAAGCCGAATCCTGATATAAACCCTGAAATTCAATCGCTCAAAGCCAAATATATGAATCCATTTATTATGCAACTTTATAAGCTTCTCTATCAGCATGAAGATTTCCAAAAGGTAAACTCTGTCTCTAACTAACAACTATTTTACTTATTCATGTTAATTTTGTAGTATTTGATCGCTTGTCTAACTGAGTGGGCAAATGCAAAAATAGCCTATGATGATATATGCTTGGACTATGTAAATGCTTGCATTATAGATGATACGGAGCTCAATGAGCTTACTTATCAAACTTTATATGCGATTTTTGATTATTTTTGCAAAGGTAAGATAATTAAGATACATTAAATAAAAATGATACGAATTCATTGTTAATTCTAGATGCTGGCAATTTTTGTAATGCGGCGCGTTATAAAAATATTCTGGAAGTCTTCGCCAGTCTCGTCCATGTAACGTGCTGTGCGGAATTATTCAATTACTTTTGCTGTGGACTGTTTGCAGATGATATCATAAGGTCACAAATGTCCGCAGATGTGCTTATGCTGAGTTACCGGTTAGACATCTATATGCATAAACATCGCTTAATAATTGTAATTGTAACTAAGCTTATTTGTAATTACAGTCTGGAAGAGCAGCAATGCGGCTGGACTGAAAATGCTTTAACAGCAGTGACCAAATATTGGATCAAGTGCAATAATTCATATGCCGTCTTCTCGCAGAATCCAAGTCAATTGCACGTAGAACGCATGCTTAAATATTTTCATAATTTAAAAGAATTACATGAGCAACCTGTATTTAATTTACATAACTATCGCCAAATAAGCTGTGTATTCGCTAACAAAATTGACAAACATCATTTATGGGTGATGAAACTGCAACGCCTATTTCAGAGTCCACTGAACGATATTGAACAGTATTACGAAATTGTAAGTATCACAATTTCAATGAAATGATTCTAAGCTAATAACTGTTCTCTGCAGCTGGCTCTAATATCCTTGGTATCGACCTCGTCAAAATATTGGTTGCTGAACCTGCCAACTGGCTTGAAGGAGCTGTTAGTAAGGGGCACCTATGAACGCTTGAATAACGTGTTTTTTAAGCTGGCGCTTAATACCGATTCAGCTTCAAGACTGCTCATCCTAGAAACACTAATGCCGGCAAAATCTGTTGCCACCAGCTGTTGGTACGGGCAACGCTTTCTGCATATGTGCCAAAAGAGCGGAAATCCGAAGATTATTTCTCTGACAGAACAGCATGTACCTGCCCCAGAGCTGCGCCCACTTTTAGATATGATACAGCCATCGTATTCGTGTCCTAAACCCAACACGGACAGTCTGCAAATTAATTACAACAATCTGGCATATAAGAGTAAACAACCTCATCGTTGCACACAGTCAAACCTAAAACGTAAACGTTCTGAATATGACTCAAAGAATATTTTGGGACAGCTTCAGCTGAATGCACAACAGTTAAGCTCCGTTGAATTAGATGCTACCGACCTAAAACAGCTAAGTGGTGTTGTTAAAACTTTACAAGATATTTTAACAAAACAGTAGATTATATGAAATGAATGTCTTGAAATCTAGATATTATACCAAAAAAATATTTGAGATTCTTAATTTTCCAACTTTTAATGTCTTTTTGGTAATGTCTCTCAATATATGTTTTGAATATGTATTGTCTGTATACAGAAATGTATATAATCCTCCGCTATGTCTCATAGATCCATTGATCCCTTTGTCAGACTTGAAGTGGCTTCGGAATTTTTTTTTTTCAAATGGAATGGATTTGTCATGCAGAATTAAATTTTGTTTTTTGTATATAATAATTGAGTTATATCTTTTATTTAAAATTGGAACTATTCAGGTAAAAATAGAAACATAATTGATCTAGAGCCACTGGAACAAAATCTAGTGAAATAAATATTTTAAGTATATACATAACTAATGCTAATACGTGACATTTCTATGTTCAAATTTTGCAAATATTTTATCGTACGCCACCTGCTGCTCCTCCTCCTGCAACAAGATGCCTGTAAAGCAGAGAGAGCAGTGAGTATTGAGGTCAAGTTTCAGGTGATTCAGTTGAGCGTATTCTCACCTGCAAAACTGGCTGATATGAAGCAGACAATGCTGCCCACGATAAATGCACGAAAAGCCACGGATGTGATCATACCACGACGATTTGGTGCCATTGCACTCAAGGAGCCAATGAGAATGCCCAGAGAGCTGGGATTGGCAAAGCCACAGATGGCAAAGGTAGCGATGCCAGCGCTGCGAGCCTGTGCAAGTATATTGATTAGGGAGCACAGTTAATATTTATGCTTAATTTACTCACTTTAATTTCGTGGTTCTCGATCAGTAGACCCAGACGCTCGTAGGCGACAAATTCGTTGATAATGCTCTTGGTGGCCACCACTTTGGCTATTTTATCGCAATCGGACCAGGGCACGCCCATGGCCCAGGCGAGCGGTATGAAGATCTTGGAGAATATCCACTCAAAATCCACCTCTTCGTGCCCAATGAGCAAGCCTAGCCAACTGACTAGACCGTTCAGGAAGGCAATGAACGCAACAAAGGCCACAATGTTGGCAATGATGCCCAGGACAATGGGCACGGCATTGGAGGCGCCACTGGACGCGGCATCCAGCAAGGAGGCATCCTCGCTGTAGAAGAAGAAGAGGTTAACCAGAGATCGTAAATATGTATGATGAACTTACGATTTCTCCAGCTCGATGGTATCGCTAGACGTTTGGCTCACTTCCGTTTCGGGCATATACAGCTTGGAGATGGCCAACGTGGCTGGCGCTGCCATGACCGAGGATGTGATCAGATGCGCAGCAGATGCGCCAAAGGATAAATATGCAGCCAGCACAGTGCCAGAGACGGTGGCAAAGCCCGATACCATAATGCTGTGGATCTCGCTCTTGGTCAGCTTTTGAATGTAGGGCCGGATCAGGAGCGGACTCTCGGACATGCCCAGAAAGATGTTGGCAGCAGCTGTCACGCTCTCGCACACAGTCGTGCCCAATATGGCCTGGAGTATCCAGCCCAGCTTAATGACCACCCATTGCATGGCGCCCAAGTAATAGAGCACCGATATGAAGAAACTGAAGAAGAATATCACCGGCAGTATGGCGAAGGCGAACACCTCCTTTTCGATGAGGAAATCACCAAAAACAAAGCGTGCACCATCTGTGGCATAGCCCAGAAACGTGGCCACCTTATTGCCCAGGCACTCAAAGATCTTCCGGCCCACCTCCCAGCGTATGCAGATGATGCCCAATAGAAACTGACACGTGATGCCCGTGATGACAATGCGCCACTGAATGGCGCTGCGTTTCGTGGAGAAGACATAGCCGCAGAGGATGAAGAAGCAGGGTGCCACCAAAGAGTACAGCTTCTTTGGCTCGTCCTTTGTCTCGAACACCAAATACACGACCAGCAGTGCGAGCAGCAATACAATGCAGGCAATGGAAACGGCGCTGTTTATGACGGGAGATATCGCAATGGGTTATGGCATTTATATAACTGATATCAGTTATCAAATGATTATTTGAGGATGGCTCACCGCTTTCTTAGGAAATTATGCCATTTGACAGCTGCTGGATGCAGGTAGTTCTTGTGCAAAAACAGTCCGAGTTTTGGCTTGAATATCAGATAGTAGAACAGGGCCAGGTATATGAAGCCCAATAGCAAAACGAGCATGCCATAGCCGGTGCAAAAGCGTATGCCACATAAAGGTATTGAGCTATCATATTTGCAGTCATATTCATCTGTATAAAGGTAGAGTATCTTGATTACAATTGTTATATAAACATATATATATTTATATGGATATATTTATATGGATGCATATGTATGTATGCTGTATGAGTAAGCAACACATAGATGCTCGGGTTTTATCTAAGGCTAGTGATATATGTTTAAGCAGATATCCGATCTAATCTTTCAGCTCATTTATATGTTGGCCTCTTTTCTCATTCACGAATCGAAATGAGCATATTGGTTTACTACAATGTCCGTATAAACACAAATCACACAAATCTCAGCTATTGATTACCCTAGATCATTGGGATATATAGATATATTAGGATATATCTACACTCATAGAATGCATTGAAAAACTTATTACTTCAATAAAGTCTGTGAGCTGAATGCTTAAGCTACTGTTGATCTCCTATCATAATCTAACGTCTCTCTTGGGGGAGTAGCGTTTCGAAAATACCTTGTTTTTTATTCCTAGCGTTAAACCGATTATTTCTGATCTCTTTTTTGCTCAAAAATGAGTGTTATACAGTCGACAGCAGCCGACTGTTTTAAATGAAAGTTTTCAACTTACTCATATCATGATAATGATATGTGGCATATGCAAAATAGCCAACGATGGCAATCTGTAGAATTAAATGAAGTCCTCTTTTAATCCATTTATTAATTTCATTATTCTCTTGCGTTTCTCTCCGATCAACACTGAGGTCGTGATCATGGCTATAATCAACTTGATAATCAGTCTGCAAATAGAAGTGTGACATGTATATATATGAACTAATCAAGAGAGAATTGCTCATGCTTGGTTTACCTTATTAAATTCTGGATTTGATCTTCCTAGGTCAGTCTATTAGAGAAAGAAATAGAGGTAAGTCTTTTATTTATATTTAACTGCTGTAGATTATATACACACATGATCCAATTCATACGCATTGTTGTTGACGCCCATTGATTCTTTATCGCCCATCTAGAATTATATAAAATTGCTTTCGATAACATTAAGTTTGAAGAGCGTGCCATATTACTTAGAGCATTCTTTATATAGTATATATATTCCTAATCTGCTATCGATGTAGGAAATTACGATTAGTAACAATTCAGCTAAGTCCACTGAATATACCACAATATTTTGGCGATAACTGGGGGTCGCCATAAACGGCAACACGTGGATAGCCATTTTGATTAAAGAGGGTGCACTTGACCACACTTGTAACACTAAAACGTCCTTCAAATCTGCTCGCTTTCAGCTAAGATCGTAAATGTTTCCTTTTATTTCTAACATATCGCAAATCAGAATGAAGTCAACGATTGATACCATAAATTTGTTGTTAATATTGCTATTAATCAGAATGAATATACATATATCAGTTTAGTCAGAATTGTATATCAAAACAAGTAAATCTCTAGTTGGTTGTTCCTGATTGGGAGATACCCTGAAGTACGCCCGATATCACATTTAACAAAACTATTTCCCATTTTGCAATTTGTTTCTTTCTGGCTCTTTGATTATTGAAATATTTGCATAAGATTTTGTTACATAATGCGGGAACTGTTTTGTAGTACTACGTTTTTACTTTTGCTTTTATATGTAGTTTATTGAATTTTTCTTAAGGTGCTGGGTGGAAAAAGCTGTTAACTGCTGAAGGTGCTTAACTATACTGAGTTAAATGTAAATACCTCTGCATGCATAAATACAAAAAACACACTCAGCCATAGGCTCACTCGCACCTGCGAAATCCAATAGCATGTGTATCACTGAAAAGTGAATATGCCTTGGTTAAGTGCACTCTAGGTGGTAACTCCGTAATTAAAGTAACAGCTGACAATTTAAACACAATTACCAGCGCGAGTGCAATTTAAATCAAATCGAATCAGAAAGAGTATTAGACCTCTAAAAGGTCTTTATGGCATTATCGATAGTAGGATGAGCTCGATACAATTTTAGTTTGGAATTTAGTTGAATACAGAGTAATCAGATTTCACATGATTTGTAAGCCTTTCAGTTTAAAACCTGAATCTGAACATTGCAAAAGTTCAGAAATTCATTAGCCCTTCAACAACCCCGATCCACTCAGTTCGTCCTTCTGTTCAAGATTATATGTATATACTTTATGGGAAATGTAATTTATAACGGGTCAATAGAAAATAGGGGTCTGAAATTAGCTAAAGATAGTGTAATCAGATTTCAAATGAATTTCGTCCCTCATAAATGCTAACCTTCTCAGATTAAAATCTGTGAAACATGGCAATCTATAGAAATTAATTAACCCTTCAAGTTTGTCGCAAATATCGATAATTAAATTTCAGACTATAATTCTTATTAGAATGGGCAATTCCACATTAAATTTCCAAGCAATGCTGCCTTTGTATAATTTCTTTAAAAAGTTCGTAAATAATCAAATCGAAAACAGTTGCTCGTGTCGTGTGTCGACGACACTTCTGCTTATATACATATTTTACAGTCTTGAAAATATATATATATATATTTTTTTTTTTCTTCAATAAATATTCATGTTTTTTTATTGAGGTAAATCACCTTTTTTATAACTAGATAATTATCTGTTTGTTATACCCTGAACCCATTTTCAATGGGAAATCAGGGTATAATGGTTTTGTTGAAATGTATGTAACAGGGAGAAGGAGGCGTGGCAGACCCCACAAAGTATATATATTCTTGATCAGGGTGACGAGCTGAGTTGATTTGGCCCTGTCCGTCTGTCTGTCCGTCTGTCCGTCTGTCCGTCTGTCCGTATGTATGAACGCGTCGATTTCAGAAGATATAAGAGCTAGAGACTTCAAATTTTTTTTAAAATGTCCGTAATTACAGCGCGCATATCAAGTTTATCATTAAAAATCGATAACTCATCTCGATCTTTTTTTATCGATAAAAAACCTTATCGAAACCCAGTTATAAAATTATATCTTCTACACCTTTATTGCTAGGGTCTCCAAATTTTTAATGTATGCTTATATGCAATTTATACAATTTCGGTTTTTGTTAAAATTTACCCCCCACCTCTAAATTCGCCCCCTCACCCTCACTTTTGTAAAAAGCGTATTTCAAATACTAGAGACTTGTGCTTTGGCAATTACATGCATATTCATGTTATAATCATATTCTGAAAGTTTCATAAAGATCGTACGTCCATAAAAAAAGTTATTAAACAATTAACTTCTCATAGTAAGCGCACACTGCAGCCCATGCGTGTTTATGCGTGGTTGCTTGTGTGTGTATGTGTTTGTGTATGCGTGTGTTTATGTGTGTGTGTGTATGCGTTTGTGTATATATGCGTGTGTGTGTGTAAGTGTGTCTGTATGCGTGTGTGTGTATATATGCCTGTGTGTGCGTACGTGCGTGTGTGTGTGTGTGTGCGTATTACTTGTGTAAGCTGAAAGTTGCGAAAAATGATTGAAATATCTATTGCTCCAAGGGTTCAGGGGATCTCGTAGTCGAGCAGTCTCGACTAGAGCTTTCTTACTTGTTTTTATTTTTGCTTTTGGAGAGCCGCAAACACGTTTCACACAGCCAACGCGTAAATTTACAACCTTCACTTGGTTATTTTTGTTTTATTATATTCCAGTTGGCAGTTAGATTTTAACTGTATATCTGTTTGTATGTATGTACACTGACATATGCATACAAATTGACGGCTAAGTCAGTTGGCAAAGGAATCATCAGTCGAGCTGTAAGCGTACCGAATCCATATTAACTGTTCAAATGCCGCGTTAAGACTAAAACCTGTATCAGCCCAAAAGTCGTATAATATATGTTAGCAAAACACCTGTTACCTGTGAGCGGGTATATTGGCTAATAAGTGCAAAATGTTCGAAACTAGTTAATACTGATTTCTATTAAGGGCAACCAAACGTATTCAATCTGCCCTCTCCCACCTATACAGTTAGTGCAGAGTATTTGAGTGCTTAGAATATGTTTTAATTCTAGCTAGTTGTTGGACTTATCAGCGGACGAAGTGGCATTGTTGATATTATCGGGAGATAACTTGATCACGTCATACAACTCTACAAAATAACTTTGATGTGTGCAGAGTAATGAATAGAGAGTGAAGATGGGAGAGAGACTAAGAGAGAGAGAGAGTAAATGGGAGAGAATGTGTATGATCGATACAGTGAGCTATGGCCTAAGGCTATGCATATTAATTGTGCGTGAATAAATAAATAGCTAGAACTGTCGCGTAATCCCCTTTGATTGCATGATATGCCAATCTGTGGTGGGCATCTGTTATCATTATATATACATATAGTTGTATATATAGATATATAGGCACAAGTTCAGTGCTTCGAGTGGTGGATTATCAATAGTAATGTGATTTCATGACATCTTATCGAGACACTTAAGTATTGCTCAAACAATTATCTGAAAAGTATATATTTATAGATAATAAACAAGTGTTAAATATTGGTTGTCAATTGATTTTGCAATTTTTGCCATTTTTTATTATGTGTGTGCGTGTGTATAGGTAATATATTTGTTATTGTATTTTATATGCCAAGCAGTTGTTTAAACATACTTTTTGTTATTTACTAACTTAGTTACGTTCGTTTTTTTTTCGGGGCTTGGGTTACAATAATATTTGTTTTAAGTTTAATTAAGTAAAATATATATGTATAAAAAACATCATGAGCGAATTACAGAATTTATTGTTTTTATACCCATTTACGAAAGTGAAATGAGTATTTTTTTTTTTTTTTTCATTGAATATTAATATAAGCTATATACAAACATTTTGGAGATTAAATAGAGTCGAATTTGGACTTGCACGTTTTGTGGCTATATTAATAAGGAAGGCACTGTTTAAGCTAATGACTTAAATAACAAAGCGTGTTTCGGCATGTGAGTGTGACTGTGTGTGTGTGTGTGTGTGTGTGGGCTTATGTATGTATATATGCGTGTATATATCAACTGTATGTAGGTTCGTATAAATACTCATGGGTTTCTGTTTTAACCTACAGTAATTAATTGCATTGGCTTTGCAAATACTCATACATACATATGTGTGTATATATATAAGTTTTTAAATATATAAATTTTAGTTCAACTATTTGCTAGCAAGGTTTAAATGCTTGATTAATATATGGTTTATAGATACTTTTAAATATATTTATTTATTTATTTTACTTTTATATATTCGTATCGAAATTAGTTTTGAGGTTCCAACAATTCTATGATAATTGAAGCAAAAAATTCGCAAAATTCAACCACATCTAAATCACAGACTCCTAATATAAGAGAGATTTACAAATATAAATATACAAAATATACTCTCAAATCAAATACAAATTTCGAGTAATTTGTCAAAAATATTGTAACTTAAAAGATAACATTATTTCTTTTCGTTTTTTGTGTTTTCTTTTACTTTAACATAAATTAAAAATAATAATAATATAAAATAAAGAAATTAATGCATGACATGGAACTAAAAACTAATTAAGTCAACTGGCCCTAAAGATAAACAAAAAAAATTAAACAATAAACTATAAAAGACCAGCATGAAGGACATGAAACGGTGAATGCATTTGCAATTGTATTGATAATATGAGTGTGTGTGTGTGTGTTTGTGTGGCCTGGCCCAAAATGAGCTTCATATTTGAATCTAATCTACTCTTCGTTCTGCACCACATGACGATGCTTGTGTTGATGGTGATGATGATTGTGGTTCTGATGATGACGATGATGATGATGATGATGATAATTATGATGCGTTCGCAAGTGATGCTGTGTCTCTGCCGACTGCTGAAACGATTCTTCAGCCTCCATAGATGCGCACTCTACGCTCTGATGATGATGACGTCTGCGATGATGATGAATTTGCTCCCTCTGCTCACTCTCGTTCTCGCTGTTCTCCAAAT